GGTGGCCCAGCGCTGGCGGTGGACGGGCGCGTGGTGGTGTCCCGCGTGGTGGCTCTGCCGGCGGGCGTTGTCAGTACCAGATCCAGACCGGTCCTCGCCGCGGCTTCGTTTGCGGTAAGATCGGTCACTCCACTTCCCGCTGTTTTCGTCGCCTGGACGACCTCTTTTGTCAGCGCTTCGGCCCGTCGCCAGACCTCCCGGACTGGCACAGTTTGCTTAGTCGTAAGATTCAGATCTTTGATATGGACATGGATGCCATTGTTTCTGCTCTGCATGTGGTGTATGCTGATGACTCTAGTGTGCTTCCCGGTTATTACTCACTGTTGCCTAGTGTCGGTGTGCCTAGCTTAGCCTCCCCTGCTGCGTCAGGCGTAGGACCCCCTGCTTTGTGTAGTCTTGGTGCTTCTGCCGTCGTTCCGTCGCCAGACCCCTCGGCTTTGCTTTCCTTCACCTTGGACTCTGGCGCCTCTCGGTGTTTCTTCCGCGACGCCACCACCCTGACGCCACTTCCTGTTCCTGCTGCCGTTTCTCTTGCTGACCCCTCCGGCGGTACGGTAGTCGCCCGCAGTTCCACCACCCTTCCCTGTCCGGCGGTTCCTTCGGGCTCTCTTACAGGTCTGCATATCCCTTCGTTCTCCAGGAACCTAGTTGGTGTCGGCTGCCTCCAGGACCTTGGCGTCACCACTACGTTCCCTGGTCACGAGCGGTATGCTGTCTGTACCGAGGCCGCCACTGGTGCCCCCCTGTCCACGTTCCCCCGGGACCCGGTGTCCGGCCTGTTCACTCTGGACACCGTGCCCCCCCCGGCTGGAGCGCCCCCTCAGGTGGCTGTGTCTACCCAGGTTGCTGCTGCCTGCTCCTGTCGCTCCCTCACTCACCCGACCCTCCTGTGGCACCACCGCCTAGGTCACCCTGCGCTCCCGCGTCTGCGTCACATGTCCCAGCATGGTCTTGTCCTTGGTCTCCCAGGTTCCCTCCCCGCGTTTCCCTCCTCCCCAGCTCCACCTTGCACGCCTTGTGTCGAGGGTCGGCTTCGCCGTGCCCCTCACTCCTCCTCGTTCCCCCCTACCGCCGCGCCGCTGCAGACCCTGCACCTGGACGTCTGGGGCCCCGCCCCCGTCCCTGGGCCGCGTCGCGAGCGCTACTTCCTTGTGCTTGTCGACGACTTCACTCGTTACACCACAGTCTTTCCCCTGGAGCGCAAGGCCGACGTGCCTAACGCCCTCATCCCCTGGCTTGTCTCTGCGCGTGTCCACCGCGGTCTCCCTGTCTTGCGTCTTCACTCAGACCGTGGTGGCGAGTTTGCCTCCGGTGTCCTTGGTCGCTTTTGTCCTGCGGAGGGCATCACCTAGACGTTCACCCTACCGGACTCCCCACAGCAGAATGGGGTCGCCGAGCGACGCATCGGTTTGGTCATGGAGGTCGCTCGCACCTCCATGGTCCATGCCGGTGCACCCCATTTTCTGTGGCCGTTCGCAGTACGCTACGCTTCTCACCAGCTTAACCTGTGGCCGCACCCTCAGCAGCCGCAGGTTTCGCCGACCCGTCTGTGGACTAGGTCTCCTGGTGACGCGTCTGCGTTCCACGTCTGGGGCTGCCTTGCTCACGTCCGTGCCTCCGGCACTTTTACCACCCGCCGTCTGGCACTTTTACCACCCGCCGTCTCACCGCTTCTTTCACTCTCGCGACGTCACCTTCGACGAGTCCGTCTCCTACTACCGCCGCTTCCCCCACCGTGGTCCCCCGGTTACCCCCCCCCTGTTCCTGGTCACCCCTTCCCCGGTAGTCCCTGCCCCTCCTCCTCCTCCTCCCCGTCCCGCCTCCTCTGGTGTCTCCCACGTCACCCCCCTTCCATCCGTGGACCCGGTTGAGGAGTCTTCTGACTCTGGTGGCCCTCCGGTGCAGTCCTCGCCGGCCGCCCCTCCCCAGGTGTCCCCTCCCCAGTCCCCTCCTCCGCCGCCCCTGCCGCCGCTGCAGCCGTCGCCGTCGCCACCGCCGCCGCCGTCGTCGCAGCCCCCGTTCGCTGACTCTAGGGGTGCTCGTCCCGGTCGCCCTGAGGGTGGTCCCTCTGGGGGTGCGGGTGTGGAGAGTGCCGGTGGTAGCCGAGGAGCAGCTTGCGGTCCAGGTGTCGCCGTTGTGCCGCCGCAGCAGCAGTCCCCACCGGTGTCCGCCCTTCGCCTGCTCGGCCTTCCGTCCCCCGACCCTGCGTCGGTTCCTCCCCGACCGTCTCCTCCTCTTCCTGTCTACGGCCCTGTTTTCCCTCCGCCGGACTCGTCCCCGGCTCGTCTTCCCCCTCGTTCCCCTCCTGTGTCCCCTCCCCTGTCTCCTGACCCGACTCCTCCGTCCCACGTGTGGTCTCACCGTCCCTCCCGTGCTCGTCCTGCCTCGCCTGTCTTGCGCTCCCACCCTATGTTGCTTCGTTCCCACGCGTCTCGTCCTCCCCTTCTGCCGTCGCCTCCTCCGTCCTCCCTTGTTGTCGCGCCCCCCCCGCTGTCCGACTACCTTCGTGCCGCTCGTCCTCTCGTTCCTCGGGTCCTTGCCTCTCTCGTTACCGACCCGTCTGTTCCGGTCTCGTGCCTTGACGCTCTTGTCGCTGCTGTCGCTGACTTCGCCTCTACCCGCCGCCTTGACTACGCCACCGCTCTGGTCTCTGACCCTGCCTGTCCTCAGTCTGTCGGGGGTGCTTCTGCCCTTGGCAGTGACGTCCTGGAGGACCGCCAGTTCGAGCTTGCTTTCCTCTCCGAGGCTGCTCCCCATCTCTGTTCCATGCTGCTAGTCCCTGAGGGTGACCCAGACGCTTTCGACATCCCGACCCCTCGCACTTACGCTGAGGCGACTTCGGGACCCTGGGCCTCGCAGTGGATAGCTGCCATGGAGCAGGAGATGGCATCTTGGAGATCCACCGGCACCTTCGTCGACGCAGTTCCCCCGCCTGGGGTGAACGTAGTCGATGGCCGCTGGCTCTTCAAGATGAAGCGCCCTCCTGGAGAGCCGCCTGTCTTCAAGGCGCGCTATGTGGCTAGAGGCTTCAGTCAGCGCGAGGGGGTGGACTTCTTCCAGACTTTTGCTCCGACCCCGAAGATGACTACTCTTCGGGTTCTGTTACACCTAGCTGCTCAGCGTGACTACGAGCTTCACTCCCTCGACTTCTCCACTGCCTTCCTTCAGGGCAGCCTACACGAGTAGGTCTACCTGCGCCGCCCTCCGGGCTTTACTGGCACCTTCCCTCCTGGGACCCAGTGGCTCCTGCGGCGCCCCGTCTACGGCCTGCGCCAGGCTCCCCGTGAGTGGCACGACACTCTCCGTGCTACGCTTGCTGACCTGCAGTTCTTTCCGTCTTCTGCAGACCCTTCACTCTTCGTTCGTGCTGGCCAGACTCCGTTCTACATCCTCGTTTACGTCGACGACCTAGTTTTTGCCACAGCAGACAGGGACGCGCTGGCCTCCGTGAAGGCAGAGCTGCTGAAGAGACACACCTGCACTGACCTTGGAGAACTGCGCCGTTACCTTGGCTTGCAGATCTCCAGGGACAGAGCTGCGCGCACCATCACCCTGACTTAGTCACACTTGGTGCGCCAGGTCCTTCAGGGGTTCAGCCTTCAGTTCTCCTCTGCACAGCCCACCCCTCTGCCTGTAGACCACAGGCTCTCCGCTCCAGTGCCTGAGGAGTTGGTAGAGCCCAGTGGCCCCTACGCAGAGCTGGTGGGTTGCCTCATGTACCTGATGACTTGCACTCGCCCAGATCTCGCATACCCTCTCAGCATCCTGGCTCGCTTTGTGGCCACAGGCAGACACCGACCGCAGCACTGGTCTGCCGCTAAGCGGGTTCTGCGTTATCTTGCTAGTACATCGGGCATGGGGTTAGTGCTAGGAGGACGTAGGCCAGTGGTCCTTACTGGACACACAGACGCTTCGTGGGCAGACGACGCTGAGACACTCCGGTCTACCCAGGGCTACTGCTTCAGCCTTGGCTCAGGTGCCGTCTCGTGGAGAGCTACTCGCTCCTCGTCTGTTGCGCAGTCCAGCTGTGAGGCTGAGATCTACGCCGGTGCCATGGCGGCACAGGAGCTCCGCTGGCCGACCTTCTTGATCACTGACTTAGGTGAGCGGCCTAGCTCTGCCCCGGTCCTGTTCGCTGACAACAGGGCCATGATCCTCCTGTGTCAGGAGCCTCGACTCGAGGGCAGAGCGAAGCACATTCAGCTGCGGTACTTCCTCCTGCGTGAGCTACAGCAACGACGTCAGGCTCGCGTAGTACACTTGGCCTCAGGTGCCAACACGGCTGATATCTTTACTAAGGCGCTTGCGCCTAAAGATCATCAGCGGCACTGTGTCCAGCTTGGTCTAGTTCCTGTAGCCTCTCACTTGCTAGGACCTTGACTTTGTACTGTCCTTTATATGTATACTCAGACTGGACTTGTGTCCTCTCCCAGTGGCTGGACTAGTAGTGCCGCCCTGCTCTTGTGCTTGCCTTGTCTGTACTCCTTCTGACTGGTCGCTCAGACCCTTGTCTCAGAGGTTGGACTAGTAGTGCCGCCCTGAGCTGTTTGTTTAGGACTTTCCCCTATGCAGTCTAGGGGGTGTGTCAAACATGTCTATTTGTTATGTGTGTATAGACTGTATAGGGTAGCCTCTTAGAGGGTACAACACTTAGCGATATTGTGTGTACTCTCTCTCTATCACCATCACTTGAATTTCTGTTATGCAGACGGGCAATATCGTCCGGTATGCAATGAAATGACCAAAAGTGGGTATCTGACTCAAATGAAGGTGGTGAAACATGCACACTTGAAGTCCAATAAAAAAAATGCATATGCACATTCCATAACTCCTGGGTGTTTTTTTTTTTTTTTTGCCTTTAATTACACCCAGCCCAAAATTTCGCTGCATTTTTATTAACACCATAGGATGTTTTATACGGGGGATTACGGTACCTTTGCATATAGAAGTTTTAGGCTAGATTTGGTGTGTGTTCTTAGAGAATACAACCCAAACCCTATATCTCCCTTGTTCTCTTTTCTTTCTAATTATTTTAGTTTTCTAACATCTACCGTTCTGAGAACAAATCTTGCCCATACAGATCGGCCGTCCGATGTTGCCCGTCTGGCAGCAAATTACCCTATTGATTATGGCCCTATAAGTGCTTCCACTACACCAAGTACCTGTTGTAGAACGATGTAGCCCAATCAGGCACAACAATGCGTGACGTTTCCTAATTCTCATGAGAAAATTATCATCTCATCCTCCCTGCGTATCTTAACATTAGAACCTCGTTGTAGCTCTGCCCGCCGACTCGGTGTGGGAGGCTTGAAGGCCGCCAAGAGAGCGCGCAACCGGATGCCTGCTGTTCGCACGTTGATGGGCTTTCCCAGCACAGCGGAATACCCTGCCATGGCATACCGCCTCTGCAGATGACAAGAGCCAACAACGGTTTGCAGGCATGAGTCAAGGCAATCCCAAGAGTGGTCCTCAGGGCGTTCCTTGCTGTGCATGCGCACAGCAGAAAGGAACTTCCATTTCAGTCAAGCATGCTGTGGGGAATGAAGGCTGTGCAGGGGCAAGGCGCGGAGAAGGCGGACTTACGATGTCATCTGGCTCCACGTTGGCTGAGATTGCCACTATAGGCGTCTCCAGCAGCCCATGAGCTGCCTCATGCTCCCTCACACGCATGCACGCCTCGCTGCCGTTCATCACTTTCAGCCTGCCACACACACACACATACGCAGTGCAGCAACCAACAAAACATGAGAGAACATCTCGCTTCTTGGCACCGTTTTCCCCTGGCCTATCGGAGGAATGTGCAGGCACCAGAGAGCAGGGCACAAGACAGGGTCAGATGGTGCAGCATCAAGCCAGGAGAACTGTGATGCGGACAGCAGCCGAGTGCGGCATGTGGATACAGCGAGGGCTGGCAGTGGAGACAATGGAGACGCAGTGCACAATGCAGGTGTGTGCATGGCGCATGCCTTGCCCTTGGCAGCGCAGTGCATGCAGCAGGGCATGTGCAAGGTGCATGCACAGAGGACGGCCACCTCTCGTCCAGCAGCAGCGCATCAAAGCGCTCGCCCCGCTTGATGACCCGCTCCACTGCGTCCGTGCCGTCTGACCCCGCCACCACTGCAAACTGCGCCCTGCTCCATGCCACAGCACCGCACCGAGATCCGTGGCACGGGATGGGATGGGAGGGAAAAACGGGATGGGATGGGGTGAGATGGGATGAGACTGTTGAATATCTTTGAGAGGAAAGTGCCGACCACGAGACGAAAACACACGGTGGAGGTGTAGGTAGGTAGAGAGGCCGGGAGGAAGAGAGCGAGGTAGGGATCGCAGGTGCAAGGGCACAGTGAGCATGTTGCTTGCCTTTCAAGAGTTCGCCTGACCACCCGTATGTTGACAGGCTCGTCGTCAATGACCAGCACCTGCATGCCATGCACACGCACACGCACATGGGCACACACATGCAGCAATGCGAGGCAGGTGGCACACAGACAAGTTAAATTGCCGCAGAGGAATCAAGCTGATGTCAGGCGGAGTAGCTGGAGAAGCAGGGAACAACACTAGTGAATGCCTTGCTGGGGACTACATAACCACTCACGCACCACATGGCGCCACACACATCAGGACGGCACACCCACCTTGTACTCTTTCTCTCTCCTCCCCTCGCCCGGCGAAGCAGCCTGCCTTGCACCTGCCCCCTCCCCGCCCACCGCCTCCACTGGCAGGCTCTTTGCACTCGCCAGCTGCTCATGCACCCCGTTCCCCCCGCTGCTGCCACTGCCCCCGCCGCCACCGCCGCTGCTACTGCTGCCGCTGCCCAGGCTGCCATTGCTGCTCCTGAGGCACAGCATGCTGCCGTGGCTCGTTCCTGCAGTCATGGGTCTGCTCAAACCTCCCCCCCTGCCCGCACCCACCATCTCCCTTGCTGCTGCCCCACCCCCCCCTTCCACTCCCAGTGCTGCTGTTGCTGCTTGCGGGGCGCCCCTCTGCTGGAGCATGGGGGGGGAGAGGCCGGGCGAGGAGAAGAGGTCGGATGCCCGCTTGCGCGGATGCGAGGCGAGGGAGGACGACGCCGAGGGCAGGGACGCGGCGGGCTGCAGGCGTGGCAGGTGCGGGGGCGCACCAGCAGACACGGGCTCTTGTGAAGCAGCTGTGGGGTTCCAGGGGCTCTCAGCGCAGGGGATGAGAGAGGGAGAGGGCGGGGGGCAGGTGGAGGGGGAAAGGTTGGAGTGGGAGAGGGATGTGAGGAGGTGGGAGGAGGGGGTGCGGGTGAAGAGGGAGGCAGCAGAGATGACAGTGGGAGTGGTGGTTGTGGGGGGAGGTGCAGTGGGGATGAGATGTGATGGCGATGTCGGCCCCACGTGCACTCCATTGCTCCCTGCTGCTACTGCTGCTGCTCCTGCTGCTGTTGCTCTTTTTCCTCCTGCGCCACTGCCCCCTGCACTAGCATCTGCTGCCCCTGCAGTGCGTGTTGTGGCAGGAGCGGCAACAGCGGCAGGTGCCGTGGACACCTTGTGCAGAGACTGGTTGAGCGCGCCCATCAGCTTCGACGCCTCCCGAGAAAAGTACGCCGAGCTCCCTGCCACTGCCGCTCCCGCCCCTGCTGCCCTGCCTGCCCCACCTGCCCCTGCTGCCCCTGCTGCCCCTGCTGCCCCTCCTACTGATCCGCCTGCCGCAGTGGCAGCAGCAAGGGGCGAAGCAGGCGGAGGGGCGAGGCCAGGCTTCAGAGCGCGGAGGAGAGAGTGGGCCAGGTTGCGAGGGGACGACTGGGAGGATGATGAGGAGGAAGAACAAGAGGAGGAAGACGAGGACGAGGAGGGGGGTGAGTGCGGTCGGGAGAAGACTCTGACTCCAGAGGGCTGACCCCCCTCCGCTCTCCCCGCTTGCCTCAACCCCCTCTGCCTGCTCCCAAAACCCGTCACTCCATTCGTCAGATTTATTCCAACCGCGGACGGCGCCGCAGGGGAGGGAGAGGGCGGGCATTGGAGCAGGGAGAGGGATGGCGCGGAGCGCACTCTGACCATGCAAGACCCGGGCACGCGCGCGCCTCTCTCCCCGTCACCCCGCCTCGCACTTTGTCTAATGGGCGGCTGCCAGCTGTCGGGGTCTGCTGGCTTCCACTGCTGCTGCCTTAACGGGCCTGCTGTTTGCCCGTTTAACTTATCCCCCACCTGCTGCCCCTGACCCTCCTCCCCACCAAGCCACCCGTCCTCCCTCACACTCGCCAGCACCCCCTTCCCTTTCTCCCTCTTCCCACACCCAACCCTCCCCTTCCTACCCATGTATCCCCCCTCCTCCTGCCTCTCCTTCCCCTTCCTCCCCTTGCTGCCCCCACACTCCTCCTCTTCCCCTGCCCGCCCCACATCCCGCCCCCCCTGAATGCCACCCAAAGAAATCCCAAAGAGAGCAGCGGCAGCAGAGAGGGCTTGTGAGGTGGCAGCGGGCAGCATGAGAGCGGGCATGATGGGGGGCGGGCAGGGCATGGCGCCCCACTGCTGGCGCACGGTGGAGCCCACAGTCAGCTCTACCAGCACTGCCACAGCATCGCTGGCCACCACCTCTCGCACCACATGGAAGCTCCACTCGCCCTTCATGCCTCGCTCCAGCTCCTCTATGAGACAAGCCTCCTTCACTGCCCTGTCCGAGCCCCCGGCTTGCCCTGCACAGGACTCTGCTGCTGCTGCTGCTGCCACGGCCGCCGCTGCGGCTGACACCATGCCCCCTGCTGCTGCTGCTGCTTGCACAACAGAAGCACTGCCCCCGGCCGAGGACCCTGCACCCGCTGCGCCTGGTGCTGCTGATGCTGACGGCGCTGGTGGTGGTGCTGCTGCAGGTGTGTGGGAGTGTTGTTGGGCAGGAGAGGAAGGCAGGAGCGGGGAAAGAGGGAGTACCGGTTGTGTAGGTTGTTGCAGAGAGGACGGAATCGCAAACGCTCGTGGCTGCTGCTGCTGCTGCTGCTGCTGCTGCTGCTGCTGCAGGTGGGAAGCAGCGGAGGCAGCAGGCGAATCCGCGATGGCTACCGGTTGGAAAAGCTGGAGCGAGTGGAAGGGGCCGGTGGGGAAACCGGGAGGGGCAGCAGCAGCACTAGGCGCATAGTGCGCAGCAGAAGTGACGTCCCGTAGGCCAGCAGCTGCTGGTGCACCGGCAGGGACGTGCCCTGGCTGTGGTTCACCCATGCCTCCACTCACCCCACCTCGGATGCCTCGTGCACTGCCATCCACACCTGCTGTCATGGGTCTGCCTGGAGGGGGTGGTGCGATGAGCGACGCAGCGCCAGCGTACGAGTGCGCGGGAGTGGAAGCAGTACCGTGTGGGGCCGCGGGCCCGCCAGACAAGGGCGACGACAGCGACCGCTGGAGGCTGCTGCCGGAGCCGCCACCGGCAGCAGCATCAGCAGCGCCTGGTGCAGCAGCAGCCGGGGGTGCATCGGCGGGGGGGCAGCGCAGAGGGAAGGAATGCTTGGCAGGGTCGGTGAGGGAGCGCGTGGGGATGGCCCCACCGGTGGTGGCCGCCATGCGCTCCCTCAGCGCGGGCCGCGCCAGGTGGAAGACAGACGACGGCAGCTGCCTGAGCAGCGAGTCCGTGCGCATGGCTTCCGGCGACGCTGTCATCTGGCGGGGGGATGGGGCGCCTGCACGGGGCAGCGGCTGCTGAGGGTTGTGCTGGTTGTATTGGTTGGCGTGGTCGAAGCCCCACTGGTTGCTGTGGTAAGGCTGTGCAGCTGAGCCGAGTGTGTCGCTGCTAACGTCCGCATGCAACCCACTCCTCTCACCATCACCACCATAACCAACAGCACTAGCAGCAGCAGCAGCGGCAGGAGAGGCAGCGTGGAGTGCAGTGTGATAGGGCGATGTAGAGCGTCCTTCATCGTTCCCCTGCTGCGTCTCAACCCCCAACCCAGGCGGCCCCTGCTGCTGCCAATGCTGCTGCGGCTGCTGTTGTGTTTCTTGTTGCTGCAGCAATTTCTCCAGCTGCTGCTCCTGCTGCTTTATGCCCGTGTCCACGCCTCTGCTTCCTCCGCTGCGTGTGCCTGTTGCGCCCGCCACACCAGGCGAGCTGCCCCCTCCCGCACCCCCCCTCTGCACCCCCTTGCCTGGCGTTGGCGGGCGGCACGGGGAGCGCAGGGCAGACGGACAGGGGGGGCGGGGAGAACGGGGAACGGTGGGGGCGGATGGGGTGGAGGGTCCGCCGGAGTGGGAGAGGGTGGGCAAGACGGGGGAGGAGGAGGAGGGATGGATGGTGGGCAGTGAAGGAGGGGTAGTGACAGAAAAGGACGTGGAAGGGGAAGGGTTGGGAGAGGAGGGAGGAGGGGCGTGGAGGGAGGGCGACGACTTATGGAGGCGGGAGTTGAGCACGAGGGTTTGCAGCATGTGCGCAGCAGGCCCCTCAGAGGACGCCGCCTCCCCGGACTGGAACGACGGCTCACGGAACTCCCCACCCTTCCCTCGCCCCCCTTCTCCTCCTGCGCCGCCCTCTCCACTCACATACCCTGCCTCTTGTTCTCCTCCTCGCTCTTCGCCTGTCAATGCCACTTCCGCTGCCCTTGCTGCTGCCTCCATGCTGCTGCTGCTGCGCGTGGCGGCTGCTGTGCGCCTCTCCCCAGGCAGCTGTCTGCGCTGCTCGCCACCCATCATCACCACCCCTCCCTTGCCCATCACTGCCTCGTCCGCCCCCGTCCCCCGCCACCACCCATCCCTGTGCGCCGCCTCATCACACACATCATCATCGCCCCCCCTTCCTCCCCCTGCCATCCCCACAACCCCCCGACCATGCTGCCCACTGCCTCCCTCCGCCACGTCCGCCCGCTGCCCCCCCTCCTCCCCGTGCTGCCCTAGTGCGCCCCGCTCTGCCTGCTGCCCCGCCTGCCACGGCGCACTGCCTCCTCTCCCTCCCGCAGCAATGCCTGCAGGCGGCGCAGCAGAGGTAGGGGCAGGGGAGAGGGGACGGGAGGAAAGAGGCGGAGCGGGGGGGGCGGTGGCGGAGGGAGAGGGGAGGGGGGAGGAGGAGGAGGGGGAGGATTCGGCGGCGGCAGAGGCGGGCAAGGCGGGGTGGTTGGCGGCGGGGGCGGAGTGTGGGGGGAGGAGGTGGAGGCGCACCTCGAGGGAGAAGACGGATCCCTTGCCCACCTCGGACGTGCATTTGATCTCGCCGCCCATCAGCGACGCCAGCTGCTGGCAGATCGACAGCCCCAGACCCGTGCCGCCGTACCTGGTGCGCACAGGGGGAGGGGAAGCGGGGGGAGGATAGGCGCGTTGGTGAGCCAGCAAGGCGCATCGTTCATGGGCACAGCCAGTATGTCGAGTTGCCTCATCCGCAGCAAGTGCATGCCCATCATGCCATGCACACCATGCCCCAGGTCCTCCACACAGTCTCCCCACCCCTGACATGCAGCACACCCCAGATCCTCACCCCAACCCCAACCCCCCTCCTCCCCCGCAGGGCTCACTGGCTGGAGGCGGACTTGCGGCCGGTGGCGAACTGCTCGAAGAGGCGCTGCTTGAGGCTCTCGGGGATGCCCTCGCCCGAGTCCGCCACGCGGAACACAAACCGCGCACTCTCCTCCTCCTCCTCGCCCTCGCCCTCGTGCCTGCCCGCCTTGCCCTTGCCACTCCCAGCTGCTGCTGCTTTGGGCGGTGCAGCGGAGGCGGATGAGGAGGAGGGCGAGGGGATGTGCGTGTGGTCCATGGCGATGCCTATCTCGACCCACCCCGCATGCGTGAACTTGATGGCGTTCCACGCAAAGTTGGACAGGATCTGTACACGGCGGCAGAGGGCAGAGGGCAGAGGGCAGAGGGCAGAGGGCAGAGGGCAGAGGGCAGAGGGCAGAGGGGAAGAAGGTGGGTTGCGGCGAGAGGGGGAGACGATGGGTGGGGAAGAAGGAACGGATTGGGATCGAGCGACATGGCGTGAGATGAAAGAGGGTGGAACGGCTTGGAGCAGCACAGGGGGTAGTGGCACGGAGGGTAGTGGCATCGGGGGGAGTGGCACCGTGGCTAGAGGTAGAGTGCCCACATATCCCAAGCCCACATATCCCAACCCCACATATTCCGCATGGCATGGCATGGCACCGGTGAAATGCCCATGACCGCCGTACCTGCTGCAGCCTGGGCGCATCCCCGAGTGGGCGCACGTTGTTGCAGCGCGGGTCAATATTCGCATACAGCTGCAGGCCCTTCTTCGCCGCCGCCAGCCCCACCTGGCTCACCACCGCGTTCACAATCCGGGGCAGGCTCAGCGCATGCCTCTCCAGCTCAATCCGCCCTTCCTGTATCTGGCTCATATCCAGCACATCCTCAACGATCTTCCTCAGCTGGTACCCGCACGTGGCGGTGGTTTCCACCAGCTCCTGCTGCTCCTCCGAGAGTCTCGTATCCTCCATGAAGGTGATGTTCCCCAGGATGCCGTTCAGCGGGTTGCGGATCTCGTGGCACAGGAAAGCCAGGTGCCGCGACTTGGCGTCTTCAGCCGCCTCGGCCGCGTGGCGCACCACCATGGCCTTCTCCACGGCCTTGCGCATGGTCACGTCCTGCATGAAGCACAGCACGCGCGAGCCCTTGCCGGACCCGTCGCGGTCGTCGCCGTCGTGGCACGCGCGCATGCTGATGACGGACTCCACCTGGCGGCCCTCGTGGTTGACGAAGCGGAAGTTGAGCGTGGGCGTGCGGTGGCCCGCGAGCGCGCGGTGGATGGCGAAGTCGAGCGAGAGTAGCGTGTCGCTGTCGGGCACCATGAGCACGCGCTCGTCGCCCACCAGGTCGCCCATTATGCGCTTCCCCACCGCCTGCTCCTTGCTGATGCCGCTCGTCTGGGGGAGGGGAGGGGGAGGCGAGGGGGAGAGGGCGTGGGGGGGAGACGGGGAGAGAGAGCGTGGCGGCATGAGGCACAGGGGTATGGCAGCATGGGTGAGGATGGATGAGTGTGAGGCATGAAGTTCCACAATTGTGGAAGGGTGGGTGTGAGAGTGGGTCATGTGGGATGTGGGCGTCGGGGTACTAGTGGGTTGGTGAAACAGAGAGCGGTGGTAAAGCAGCAGATGAATGGCAGTGCAACAGAGAAAAGGATGCATCGACAGCAAGGGGGACACAGAGAGGGCGCCATGCGCCCTGCCCCATGCCCCATGCCCCATGCCCCATGTCCCATGCCCCATGCGCCATGCCCCATGCGCCATGCGCCATGCCCCATGCCCCATACCTGCAACATGCCCCATGCCCCATGCGCCACGCCCCATGCTCCATACCCCACGCCCCATGCCCCATACCCCACGCCCCATGCCACCTGCCTTGGCCATAGATGCGTTCCACTCCACAATGCGCCCGTCCTTGTCGACGGCCCAGATGGGCATGCTGGCCTTATCCAGGATCTGCTCGTAGTCGCTGGGCGCGGCGCGCGTCTCGTTCTCCGCCCACTGCTGCATGGTGCGCCGCTGCTCCGTCACGTCCTGCCCGATCATCGTCGCGCCCACGATCTCGTTCAGCCCGTCCCGCTGAGGGGACACCGTCGCCATCAGCACCATCACCTCCTCCTCCTCCTCTGCTTCCTCCTCCTCCTCCTCGTCCTCCTCCCCCTCCTCCCCAACCCCATCCCCTACCACCCCTTTCACCTTGTCCCTTTCCTGCTCCCCTGCGCCCCCCAGCCTCTCCCCTGTGCGGCCGTTTCCCCCCTGCGCCCTGCCCCCGTCTGCCCCCAGCGAGGGAGCGGGTGCGCCGGGCTTGCGCTTGCCCTTGGGCGGGCAGCGCAGGAGGATCTCGACGTGCTCCTGCGCCTGCCCCTTGCCCACCATCACCTGTTGCAGCCGCGCCTCCAGCTGCTGCATGCTGCCAGGACACACCACAGATGACAGCAGCTGCCCCACCACCGACGCCTGGGGGGGGGAGAGGGAGGGAGGGGGGAGTGGGGAGGGGTGGGTGGAGTGGAGTGGGTGCAGCAGCTCTAGTGGTCACGCACCCTACAGCTGCTGCATGCTGCCAGGACACACCACAGATGACAGCAGCTGCCCCACCACCGACGCCTCGGGGGAGAGGAGGGGGAGAGAGAGGGGGGGGTGGAGTGGGGAGGGGTGGGTGCAGCAGGTTTAGAGGCCACGCACCCTGGAGATGCTACATGCTGCCGGGGCACACCACCGACGCCTGGGGGGGGAGCGGAGAGGGGGAGAGGGGGAAAGGGGGGGTGGACGGGTGGGGGGTTATGCGTTATCTGTGTGGGGGGAGAGGAGGGGGGGTTGCTGGGTGGGAGGCAGGTATTGTCAATCACACCATCCCTCGCTCAAGGTCTACCAACCATCCACCATCCACCAGCAAGCAAGCAAGCAAGGGGGTCGGGTAGGGGGTGGGGCGTACCTTGGGGCGGCGGGTGAGGTGTGCGAGGCGCTGGTTCCACTCGGTGATGCGGCCATCGCGCGCGACGGCGAGGATGGGCGTGTGTGCGATGTCCATCATGCGGCCCAGGTCGCGCGCCACTATGGCCAGGTCCTGCATGGCCCTCAGCCGCTCCTCGTTGAGGCGCACGAGGATCATGGTCTTCATGGGCTCGCTGTTGCCCCGCAGTGCGTCGTACGCCATACGCTGCAGCCCCTCCACCGCGCTCACCTGCCACGTGCAAACGGGGGGGGGGGGGAGGGGGGGGGAGGTGGGGTGGTGCGGGGGAAAAAGTAGGTGACTTTTGAGTCGACTCGGAAGTAGGGGGAGAAGAAGGCACGGAACAGAGGAGAAGCAGCAGGGAGAGCAGAAACGGCAGGTGAGGCGAGGGTGAGAAGCCGCATGGAAAGCCCAGGACATGGCGCGCACATCATCTGCCCGGCCAGCTTCTCCACTGGTCCTTATATTGCTTTCCCTCCCTCTCTCTACTCGCCCTCCCTCGTCCCCCATAGCACGCCCGTTTACCCTCCCCACTAGTCCTCTCCCCACGAACCCCCTCCCCACGAGCCTCTTACCTCAGAGGGAGTCCACCCCGCGGGCTGCATTGCCAGCGCGCCCTCATCCCTACCCGCCTCGCCCCCCGCCCCTCTGCCCTTGCCGCCCTCGCCGCCCTCAATCCCCTTGCCGCCCTTGCCGCCCTTCCCTGCCCCGCACTGCGGCGCGCCTGCTGTGAGCGGCTCTGTCCACGCCCAGTCCAGGTGGCGCTCCCGGCCTGGAGGGGGCACGGCAGGGGAGGGGCGCACGGGGGCAGGGCACGGGGGGGGAGACGGGGGTGGGGGGGGAAGAAAGGGTGGGAAGGGTAGGGGAGGAGGGTTTCTTGGATGAGGAAGGGAGATGTAGGAGGAGGAGGGGTGGAATGAGATGGTTATGTGGGAGCCCACGTACGACAGAGAGAGCTCAAGGGGTTGGCAGGCAACTGCCAGATCAACTTGCATGTGCATGCAATCCCATCCCCCATGCGCTTGGAATGCAACCCCCCTTGCGCAAGACATCCCGTATGTGTGTGGCGTGGCATGGCATGGCGTGGCATGGCGTGGCATGGCATGGCACTGACGGTGTCGGAACCAGAGCAGCACGTCGGTGTCGGCAATGGCAGAGGCGGCCACGGTGCAGTGGTGCGCCCACGCAGGGCCCCAGTCCTCCGGGCGCGCGCACGACCTCACCACCGGCGCATACACCGGCGCCGCCACCGATAGGCGCGACGAGCCCTGCATCCACGCCACCATGGCCAGCACCTGGGGGGAAAGGAGGGGAGAGCAGGAAGGAAAGGCGTGTTGGGGGATTCAGGAGAGGAGTCAGTGTTCATGGGCGGGGACGACAATTGGGGCAATACGTGGAAGGTGTATGGAGTGCAGCGAGCAAATGGGCAGGCATGCAGACAGGGTGCGATGGCATGCGGTGGCACGTGAGGGCATGGCGACGCACCTGGTCGTCTGTGGGGCATGTGCCGTATGTGACCACCTGGGCGCGCTCCGTGTGCACATACGCCACTCCATCACACGGCACCTGCGCTCCCAACACGCACACACACACGCATGCACGTATGCACTCACACACTCACACATACATGCATGCATGCACGTATGCACTCACATGCACACACGCACACGAACATACCACATATATGGGGGAGGAGCATGGGGAATGGGGAATGGGGAATGGGATGAAGCTTCGTGGGGAGGGAGAGGCTTGGGTGGGTGTGAGGTAGGACAGGAGCAGCAATCAGAACAGGTCAACCCGAGAGGCCACGAAATCCACCTCCAGAAACTCACTCACTGTCCCTTCCCCCCTTCCTCCCTTCCTCACCCCCTTCCTCCCTCCATTCCTCTCCCTCCTTCACCCTCCCTCCCCCCACACCCACCCCCCCCCTCCCTCCCTCTCTCCCTCCCTTGTGTGCGTGTGTGTGAGCACGGGGCGTACCAGGTCCATGATGGAGGGGCTCTCGGTGACGAGCGAGGGCGCCACCTGGTACGTCAGCCGGTCGCAGATGCTCGTCTGCATTGCCTCCTGCCGCCGCCGCTCCGCGCGCTCCCCGCTCTTCACCCGCGTTGCCAGGTGCGCCCGCAAGGCCTACAGGGGGAAGGGGGAGAGGGGGGGGTTGGATGGTGGGGAAAGGCGGGAAGGAAAGGGGGGTCGGAGGTTGGTGAGAGTGGGATGTGGGTGGGATGGTAGGGGTGGAGGAGTGAGGGCAAAAGGAAGCCGTGAGTGTGGGCGTGAGTGGGCGAGGGAGGGGGATTTAGACTGACCTGCACAATGAAGGTGCAGGCGGCGCGGTGAGCACAGGTGACGGTCCAGGGGCGGTTGTAGTGGTGGAAGAGCACGAAGCCCCACAGCACGTGCCGCTCGCCCACGTGCAGCGCCAGCGGCATCAGCAGCACTGCGCACACACCCATCGCGCGCAGCAGCTGCCGCTGCGCACTCTCCACGCCTGAGTGGGGGGGTTGGGGGAATGGGGGGGAGGATGGGGGGAAGTGGGGGGAAGGGGGGAGTTGGGGGAGGGTGGTAAGAAGCCAAAGGGGATGCTGATGGGAAGGATCGGAGTAGGGGATGCGGGAGAGGGGACGATGAACGGGGATACGATGCACTGGGGAAGGGCGACGAGGGGGGGGAGAGGAAGGGAGGTGAGGGAGGATGAGAGTTGATGGGCATGAGGAGAGGTTGAGTGAGTGGAGGGAGGGAGGGAGGGAGGGAGGGGCGCACCTGAGAGTGGGGAGAGGCTGAGGTCGGGCGCAGTCGATAGGGACGCCACGTGGCGGATGGGCACTTGCTCTGCTGACGTGTCATAGATGAACCGCATGGGAATGTGCTGCTTGATGGCCTCGTCCGTCCAGATCTGAGGGGCGAGACGAGGGCGGAGAGGGGCGAGGAGGGGCGAGGAGGGGCGAGAAGGGGCGAGGAGAGGTGACGAGGGGTGATTAGGGTTAGAGTCCAGCGGGTCGTGTGGTAAGGGGAGAGAGGTTGGCAGCTAGAGATGGTGGATGAGGGGCCAGTGTGGTTGTGGTCAGGACTAGTGCGCATGAATGGAATGGAAGCGGTGGGTGCTCAAGGCGACGACTCTGGGAATAGCTAGCACAAGCGAAGCTCCCCATGGGCATACATGAGAGGAGAGCACGGGAGAGCAGTGGGTATAAGGGGAGGCTGTGTGCGTGTGGGAAGGGAGGGGGCGGAGGAGGAGGGGGGTGAGTGGAGTTGCGTACCTCGGGCACGGATGGCAGCGGGAAGTGCTTTCCTCGGAACGATGTGAGCTCGCTCACACACGACTCCGCTATGATCTGACGGCACCACACGTGGCAAGCACAGGGGAGCACGCAGGAGCGGCATGCAGGGGGCACGCACACGCACGCGCACGCGCACACGCACAGACAGACACACATGGCCACGTTGTGAAGGGTTTGCCAATTGCCCACTCTAACGCTGCTCTGCTGGCATTCCCCGGCACTGGACCCCTCCTGGTGCATCTACGCATGATGCCTCGTGCCAAGCAGCAACCGCAACCGCGCCTGACGTGCTCCGGGACGTTCATTTGATGGTTCTCTATGTGCCTGCACGGCCTACTAGCGTGAAAGCGCCACTGCCGAAGCGCTAGCGCTAGTGTGAACGCGCTCGCTGGCAGCAGCCTCGTTAGTGCACTGCTGGACATACATCCATCCATCCGTGCGGTGCGGTGCGTACCTTGCAGCACGCCTCGTCCGTGATGTGCGCGATCATGACCCGGTCGTACCCCGTCAGTGTGCGCAGCTCCTGCACGCACCGATAGAACCACACACACGCCACGCACACGCCACGCACACGCCACGCACACGCCACGCGCACGCCACGCACACGCCACGCACACGCCACGCACACGCCACGCACACGCCAAGCAGACGCCACGCGCACGCCACGCACATGCCACGCGCACGCCACGCACATGCCACGCGCACGCCACGCAGACGCCAAGCACACGACACGCGCACGCCACGCACATGCCACGCCACGACCAGTTGAGCACATCGTATTGCCAAGGTAAAGCGCGCAGCGCACAATGCAGAGCGCAGAGGCGCAGAGCACAGAGCAGGGGGCGCAAAGCGGGGAGCGGGAAGGAGTGCAATGTGGAGTTCAGTTCAGACACCAGGTAACCGGCTACGGAACGGATCGACCAGCTGAACTGAACGACTAGCGACTCCCTTGAGCGGCACAACCGAGCACTACCACCCCGGAAAGAAGAAACGACGCGCAATAGGGACGAGATTGGTTCAGCTGCGCGACCGCGCTCAAATCGTCTCTCAAAAGCTCTCGAGATTCTCTAGGCGGAAGTAATTCGGTAGAATTCTCGAAACCGACTCCAATCTGGCGGCTCGAAAGCAAGGAGGCGCAAGGGGAAGGGGAGGGTTTTCGGCGCTCACCTGCGCGGCGGCGTCGCAGAAGGCGTCGACGTGTGGCGACACGCTGTTGATGCTCTGCATGCGGTCGATGGCGCGCCGAGCAAGCTGGTGGAACGGCAGCGACGGCGCCGCCGTCGCCGCGCTCGGCGCCGCTGCGCCCGCCGCCGTCGGCGAAGGCGGCACGTCCACTTCTTGTAAGTCTGCGCGCGCGGCGCAAGGAGGAACGGAAGGGGGAGGGGGGTGGGACGGGGTGGCGTGGGTGGGTGAGAACGACGAGAAGACGAGCGGATTTGGGAGGAACGCAGGACGAGAGGATGCTCCGATATGTTGGCGCGCGGGGCAATGGGCAGCGACAGGCCACGCGCGTGCAGCCATGTGAGCTGGGCCACGCACGTGTTGTTCCTACAGTCCTGCGCCATGTGATGCGGCTTATTCCGGATGTTTCCCGAAAAGCAGCTGCTGCAACGCCACGTGTTACTCCCACTGCTGGATTCGCTGCTCCGCCGTCTCGCGCTGCCCCCGCGACATTGCCGCCACATTAGCCGCTAACTACCTCCGCCTGCTTCCCCTTATCCCTCTGCCTCACGCTCCCTCCTCCCCACCAAACAGCGACGGTACTAGCGTCGTGCGGCGCGACAACGGCACTAGCGTCACGCGCACCTTGCTCATTGTCGTCCTCTAAGCTCAGCACCACCCCCGCGCCCGTGCGGCAAGCCGACACGCAGTACGACTGCCCCGGCCGCGGCCCGCTGATCTGGCACGCGCTCGCGCTGTGCGTCGTGGTGCGGTGAATGAGCGCCGCCAGGTCCGACAGCGTCTGCGGGGGGGTCGCGACGACCGGGGGAAACGGGAGGGGGTGGCGGGAAGCGGAAAGGAGGGGGGGTTGCTGACGATTAAGAGGGAGGCTGGCGGCCGGAAAAGACGATATTTTTGGAGCTATACGGGGAATTGGGGCTGGTCGGACAATGCAGCTAGGCGAGTGGTTGAGAATACTCAGACAAGGCAGAGGGGAAATGCCGCTATGGACCGAACGGGAGAGGCGTTTTGGACCCGCGTGAATGGACGCGCAACGGTCGATTCGCGGCGAGAGAGTGGAGGGAGGCAGGGAGCGAGGTGGGCACCTGCGGGGCGGTGAAGACGTCGCTGAGATGGCGGCCGATGACCGCCGACGCGCCGTCGCGCTCCGACGCGGCGCCGCCCGCGCGCACGTCGGGGATAAAGTGCAGCACATTCTCGCTCGCCGCCACAACCTGCCGCGCACGACGAGGGCGCGCGAGATTCGCGGGAGCGCGCGGGAGGACGGATGGAAGTTTGGGGAAAGGGGGGGTGCGGAAAGAGTCCCGTGTTCGCGTAAGCTTCAAACGACGAAGATTGGGGAATTAAGTTGGCGAGGCGAGACCATTGCTGAATAAAAGGATAGCTGGCTGATAAGCTTAGGCGAGATCATTAGGGCGAATCGTGTCTGACGCTAATAGTGTGTGCAATTATACACGCCAATATTGCGTAGGGAGACCTGAAGTTGCCGCTGATAATGCGAGGACACTGAACTTTAGGCGGATTATCTAGGGACGACGTTTATGGCGTGCGCATGTAAACAAGTGCTAATGCCTAAGGAGACGAAGAAACACACGACTGCGCACCTTGCGCGATTTGTCGTCTAGGACGAGCACGGCGCCGTGCTGTTGCGCGGTGACCTCTGCTACCACGATCTGCTCCGGCACTACCTCGCTGGCGCCTCCGGCCTTTCTGTCAGTGACGGCCGCCATTGCTTCCCTCCCTAGCACTCGGAGCTACGCATGCGGCTCACGGCGCTGACCTAGAATTTCAATCCGTGACTACAGGGTGCAAACGGTAGACGCGTCCGAAGGCCTGCTGCCGCGCGTGCTAAAAAGAGTAAGGCGACTTATGTGGTCACAACGAGAAGGGAACAGCATCAGCACGAAGCGGCGGGAACAAACGAATTCTGTCCAACGCATTGCGGAAGGCGGACAACAGCGGTCCGCCACGAAATGGCTCAGTGATGGAGCTAACTAATGCGCTGAGCTTGGATGGTCACAGATGCATTCCTTTGTCTTGCTGTGACTGCCGTTTTTTGTTGTTTTTGTTTTTTTGTTTTAATGCATGCTTTTGCGGGGGAACGTGATCGGCCCAAACAGCACCACCCTGCTCGATGGGTGACGTTGTGAAGCGGAGGAGCTTCAGAGGGCTGGTCATCCTACCTAAAATGCGATGTCTGGGCAGACAATCAGGCTTCCCTGAGGGGCGTTTCGAATGAATTGCGGGGCACTCGTCCGCAACTGAGCCCCAAAAAGAAGTGCACAAAACTGATCCTGTGGCTTCTACCACGGTCTACGGCTACCTGCACACTGGAAGTTGTGAAACCCTACATGATGAACACTTTTTTTCCCCCTGCGGCAATGGCGAAATTGTGCCCTTGGGTTCGGGCTCGGTTCCAAGATTTGCGATTGAGGGAGTTGCATCATCAATTCCGCACGATAGTTGGAATGTCCCGCCCGTTCTCCCACCCCCCACACAACACAATGTCCCCCGGTGTCAATTCATCGTCTGAAGGTGTGGTGTGCGCGCAGAGAAATTCGCCCATCACACACGCCACGTCATTGGCTCTGTCACGATAAGAGCCAGGAGGATATTACTCGTCTACAGATTACCCAAGGACGATGCTCACCACAAGTGAAGAAATTTGTTAGATTCTGGTGGTTGTCCTCGACAAGGGTCGAAGGGGCGTGGTGCGCTGGGCTGGACTGGCAAGTTGGCAAAGGCGACAGCGAGACGATGAAAACGTTCAGTACAGTTATTTGTCATGCTTTCGGGCTGGGAGCCCGGGGCACCCTTCCAGTACTGCTCATGGCGTTGTGAGGGGTTATTCCAGATCCGGATCAACTGCGGAGATCAAGGTTTTTGACACGAGAAAGAACAGACAGACACGGGCAAATTAGCCTCTTCGTGTCAGATACCTGGGGCAAATGCGGACACATGGATGTCTGACAGGCGGGACTAACACGGTACCAGAACAACCTTGGAGCGCGGTGCTTTGGGTTCAGATACGTCCATAAGTTCGAACTTTCAGAGGGTTTCACACGGTGATGTGCTCTAAAATAAGTTTTTGCTACGGTTCAGTACGGTTGTCGTACGAACTTCTGCATTTTTTGGTAAAAGCACCGGCCCTTAGTTTTCGTTGGGACGCCACGCCATCCATCTTTGTTTGGGACATTATACAGTACAGTTCATCTGGTTAGGGCTGTTGGTACATACGATGACTGTTGGTCCCACAACGTAGGTCCAGCAGATACCCGTGCAATTATTATCTTGCATTCCTTCCTGAGACTCAGTGATCACAAGCAAATGGTCACAAACACGCTCAAAGCGGGTACAGTACTACACTTGTGGCTCTCCTGAGCCCAAACATGCGGGCTGTACACGCGCCGATTTTGAGAATCATTGCATGGATGAAAAAATCGCAGAGCCCCCAGGTTCGCGTGATCTGCTGTGGCCGACGGTAGTACACTAAAAACGCGTTAATTCCACACCCTGAAACTGGACGGCAGAAAAACTTTTGTTTCTACCCTGACCATTTATGAGTGCGTAAGTAACCCCTTGTTCCTACGGCCTAAGCTTGGCAGACTCCACGCGGAAAAAAACTTTGAGCACTGCCTAAGTTGACGTCTGGTTTCCTGACTCAAGAAACACTAAATCAAGCAGTAAACATTTTATATGGAAACCGAAGTTCTAGTTGTTTTCCAAAGGTATCTGAATCTGGTCTTCAGATCGGATAATATGTAATGCACTAGTGAGGTCGTGATTAAAGTGTGTCGAGTACAAATGAAGCGCATGGCTAAATACAAGCCCAGCTAGCCTAGCAAGAGAGCCTCGAGGAAGGCCACGAAATACACGCGAGGTGGTTAGGGACGCCTCAGGACTCGGAAGAATAGGACACGACGACGCGTGCAGGCTTGGGGTCTCGAACGTAGCTCGAATCTGAATTGTCGGGCCGAGCCTGGACTTCCGAAAGTCAGGGCCGTACTCGTTGTTAGCGAGGCTCGATAAGGAAAAGAGATTTTTATTACATATTCCTTCCTCCCAGACAAGACTACCCACATTTGGGGCATCCCGATCGTATAAATAGGCCTGCACGAATGTTTGTTGTCGAGGGTGACAGCTGGGACCCACGTGTCATCGTCGCACGTACGGTCAACCCATCGAACCAAAAAATCAAAAACTCGTTGTCTTTGGTCTCGGTGGATTCAGTGGGAGAGGATTTGTTGTGGTTTGGTGGTTGGCTCGGGGACAGGTCGGATCGAAGGGTAGAGTCGTTGACGGTCGAGATCAGCCGTGTTTGCAATGAACTGTCGAAAGAGGCTGACGTGGAATGAATTCTGGATACACTAGTCGTCCGGTAATAGTAACTGGGCAGTGATAGGTGTCACCATTCGGACAATCTTGAAGGGCCCACAAAATCTCGGACGGAGTTTATATGGTACAATCACTCTAAGTTCTTGGTGTCCAGAAGGTCTAGTTGCCCATGAGACAATGGGTAAATCTCGTCGATGCTTGTCCGCGTATCGTTTGGCCGTAAGGTTGGCTTTTGAAATGGCATCGGTAGCGGTTTTGTGTGCATTCTGTAAGTCCTTGACGAACTGTTGCGATCGTGGGGCAGGGCTCTCGACTAACGGTGTAGTGGGAGTCGTCGGGTTGAGACCGTAATTCAGGTAGAACGGTGATTGTGCAGTCGTTGACAAATGGGCATTGTTATGCGCGAACTCGATCAGGGGAACGGAATCTTCCCATTGGGTCGGATCGGTACAGGTTGTCCGTTTATGCAATTCCATGGTTTGATTTGTCCGTTCATTCTGACCATCGGTCAGTGGGTGGTAAGCTGTTAACAGATGAAGACGTATCCCGTAATGTTCCCACATTTTTGTCCAGAAGCTGGACGTGAATCGGGGGTCAAGGTCGCTTACGATCGCCTTCAGGATTCCGTGCAGGCGAACGACATTTGAGATGAACAGATTGGCAGTTTGCTCGGCTGTAATCGTCGTTCGGTATGGCGCAAAATGAACCATTTTCGTGAGTCAATCAACAACCACGAATGCAGCATCATTCTAGGATGCGCCGGCCGGCAGTCTTATCACGAAGTCCATGGACACGTGCGTGGAGGGCTTGGTGGGCGGTTCTAACGGCTGCAGTAACGGTTCGAACGTAGTTCGAATCTGAATTGTCGAGCCGAGCCTGGACTTCCGAAAGTCAGGGCTCTACTCGATGTTAGTGAGGCTCGATAAGGGATTTTTCTTACAATAATAATATGTAATGTATCATTTTATGTATAGTAGAAATAAGCAGAAGAAAACAAGACACGCAAATTCTAGCCCCTTTGCTCCATTTATTCGTGTGATTATGGCTAAAAGTAACACTAGGCCACTCAAATAATTCTTACTCATGCAACCAACTATTAATAAAGGTTTGCACAATTCCATTAATAAAGCTATAGCCCATGGTTTTCCCTCCAATTTCAATGCTAATCCCTTTTTAATTTTAATGGATTCTAATAAAATTCTATTGTACCGGAGAAAGGTTATTGTGCCTAATCTTGCAAGTAGCAAGATTATTGACGTTTTAAGAAATTGTGTAACGGTCTGTAGAGTCCTGCCACAAGGGGTTAACAGCGGAGTTCCCTATGATGACACACAGTGGGGCAATTGGCTGCTTGAAACCCAAGTGCTGTTCGCCCCAGTCGTTGTGCAACCGACACTGACACGAACAAGCCGTAACGAACGAGTCCTCTAAACCTTTCCCACCCCCGCCAGATAAAGATTGCGACTTAGTCCGCTGGGTCCCTTTCCCTATGCGGCTTGGTGCTGCTGCCACCCGCGTTTAACGGCCTCTCTACCCCTATCCATCCCCATGTGGCGCGTCACGTCAGCGTCGATCCGCAGATCTGTCCGCCAATCCCCGCAGGCGACCGCCCCACTAGCAGCGCTCTTTCCTCCCGCGTACTCACCTGCGCGCGCCGCCTCTCCGACCGGATCGCCATCCACATTCCCGCCGCAAGCGCCGCCGTGCGCCCCGGCGGACAGCCGGCCTGCTCTTGACGCCGACTCGACCCCGAGGCTCTCACCCGCGGGCGCTTCGACATGGTTGAGGGGTGCAGGCGGAGGGGCGGGCTTAGGATGGGGAGTGGGCGGAGTGAGATGGCGGAGCGCGGGGGGAGGCGCCGGGGAGGAAGGCAACGAGAATCCCGTCGACGGTCAAGGCGGTGAGGTGTCGGGAGCGGTTGCAGCGGAGGGGGAAGCGTCAGCCGACGACGCGGCTGAAACGGCGGGTGAGCGTGCGGCTATCACCCCAGTGGCCTCTCCGCACTTTCCGCTCCATCCCTCCCCGATTGTATCGGCGTCACCATGCCCGTTCACCCCACCTGGTGCTCACATTCCCTCCCCATTACGGATACTCCTCCGTCCCCCTTACCCGCCTCGCAGCTTCCCCTGCCCCCGCAGCTTCCCCCGCCCCCGCGGATCCGCCGGCGGCGCCCGCGGCGCTTGCGCCGTACCTGGCGCAGCTGCAGGGCGCGGGGGAGGGGCGGCGGCGGAAGCGCAGCGCGTACGGGACGTACGGCGACGACATCGAGGATGAGCTGGAGGAGTTCATCGAGCCCGCGGACGAGGGCGACTACCGCCACCTCTACGACGCGCGCGGCGTCGTGGACAAATGGCTCGGCGACCCTGCGCTCTGGGGCATGCTCGCAGGTGAGGGGGGCATGGCAGGTGAGGGGGGTGTGACGGGAAGGAAGGGTGCGATGAGTGCGAAGGGCGGCTAAGGTGAAGAAGGGGGAATGAGAAGAATGCGGAGAGAAAGTGGAGGGGGATGGGGAGAGCGGGAAGGAGAGCAGGGGAGAGGGAGAGAGAGAGGGAAGGGAGGGAGATAAGAATGGTCTGAAAGGTGAGAGGCCTCTGTGAAGGGCGTGGTCCTTGACATTATTGTATTGCTTGTGTGGTTGCTGGTCCGCCGTTTGGCTGCCTCGTGTGCCTCCGTGCTGCTAACCCACTCTCTCTCTCTCTCTCTCTCTCTCTCTCTCTCTCTCTCTCTCTCTCTCTCTCTCTCTCTCTCTCTCTCTCTCTCTCTCTCTCTCTCTTCGCCTTGTGACGCGGCATTGCGTGTTGCAGAGGATGCGGTAGGCGATGGTGGGGAGGAGGAAGATGAGGAGGAGGGGGAGGGGCCAGAGCTGAGATGGGAGACGAGAATGGTGCTGGGACCAGGTGAGGAGGCTATGGCATGCAACGGAACCCACTGGTGCTACCATGAAATGGCTCGGAGTGTCTCCGTATGGCCAGGGATTTTCTTTCGTTCTCATTCTCTCTGGTGTATTTATATTGGCATGCACCGTCTGACGCCTGTTATTTTTGAGGCGCCTCAAAAACCGTCTGACGCCTGTTATTCTTGAGGCGCCTTGAAAACCGATTTTAGAGGCGCCTCAAAAACCGTCTGGCGCCTGTTATTCTGGCCCATCGCACGGCATCCCTGCCAACACCCTCGCCTGTCACCACTCTCACCACCGCCCTCCACCCACGAGCTTCTCACCCGCTTCTTCCCCCTCCACTCCTCTCCCGCCCGCACCCCACCCCAGGCGGCGATGCGTGGCACCCGGCGAACCGCAAGGTGAAGGTGAGCGTGTACGTGCGCGAGCTGCAGCTCACCCGCCTGGCCAGGGAGCGCCTGCTCGCGCTCGTGGGGCCGCGCTACAACGCACACCGCGACGAGCTCACCATCGTCAGCGAGAGGTGCGGCTGGGGGGAAAGGGAGGTGGCGTGCGGGGGTATGGGAGGTGGCATGTGTGGGAAGGGGGTGGTGCGGTGTTTAAGGTGTAGGGGAGGAAGGAGGAAGGAGGAAGGAGGAAGGGGGCTTGGGTGGGGGTGGCGCACCATTGCAGTAACAAGCTGGTTGATTGTTTGATTGTTTTCACTCTCCCTCCTCATGTCTGCCCACCATTTGTATTTGCATGTGTGCACGCAACCGCTTGCGTCTGTGTGGTGTGTGTTAGTGTGCGCTGGACACATCGCATGTGCCTGCATTGCATGCGTGTGTGTATGCATGTGTATGGGCATGGTTGCATGCATGTGTGGGTCCACGCGTCGTGCATGTGCAGGTACCGGCACCGCGAGGAGAACCGCAAGGACGTGTTTCGCATTCTGCACGCGCTGATAGCCGAGGCCAAGGAGGCAGACCAGCTCGCCGCCCAAGCTGCAGGTGAAGCTGCTGCTGCTGCTGCTGCCGCCACCACCCCCAGCACACTCTCACAAGCCGCCTCCATGGCCTAGCTAATGGCGTAGCTGCCATGGCCGATGGGGGTTGTAGGGAAATTTTGCAAGGGTCACAGAAGGGGCTGTCATCAATTGTAATCTCGGAATGGTGCTAGATATTGCGCTGCTGTGCAGGAAGTGATGCAATGCACTGCACTGCAGGCGACGAAACCAGCTAACAGAAAACAGTCCCGGACCAGCAACACAGAGCACCAAAGCAGTTGGAACATAGGCGGGCATCTCAAGAGTAGAAAAGTTGTTATGAGGCAAAAGTGACTGTACCCTCTAAGAGCATGCTCCTATCTAGCCTATGATAACATATACAAATATGTTTGACACACCCCCTAGGCCAGATGAGGGGCAATGCCTAGACATCGACACACAGCTCAAGGTGGCACTACTAGTCCAGCCTCTGAGCCAAGGGTCTGAAGACCAGTCAGCAAGAGTACAAGCTAAACAAGAGCAACCCAGGGCGGTACTACTAGTCCAGCCATTCGGACACGAGCCACAAGGCCACTCAAGAGAACATAAAAGGAGTACACAATCAAGGTCTTAGCAAGTGAGAAGCTACCAGAACTAGACCAAGCCGTACACAGTGCCGCTGATGATCTGTATCACAAGCACCTTCGTAAAGATCTCAGCTGTGTTGGCACCGGAGGCCAAGTGTACTACGCGGGCCTCGTGGCGCTGCTGCAGCTCGCGCAGGAGGAAGTACCGCAGCTGGATGTGCTTCGCTCTGCCCTCAAGTCGAGGCTCCTGACACAGGAGGATCATGGCCCTGTTGTAGCGTACAAGACCGGGGCAGAGCTAGGCCGCTCACCTAAGTCAGTGAGCAAGAAGGACAGCAAGCGGAGCTCCTGTGCCGCCAAGGCACCTGCGTAGACTGGGCAACAGACGACGAGCGGGTGGACCTCCACGAGATGGCACCTGAACCAAGGCTAAAGCAGTAGCCCTCGGAGGGCTTGAGGGTCTCAGCGTCGTCTGCCCAAGAAGCGTCTGTGTGCCAAGTAAGGACCACTGGCCTGCGTCCTCCTAGCACTAGCCCCATACCCGATGTACTCACTAGATAACGCAAAACCCTCTTAGTGGCCGACCAGTGCTGTGGTCGGTGTCTGCCAGTGGCCACAAAGCGAGCCCGGATGCTGAGAGGGTATGCGAGATCTAGACGAGTGCAAGTCATCAGGTACATGAGGCAACCCACCAGCTCTGCGTAAGGACCACTGGGCTCTATTGACTCCTCAGGAACTGGAGCAGAGAGCCTGTGGTCTACTGGTAGAGGTGTGGGCTGTGATGAGGAGAACTGAAGACCGAACCTCTGAAGGACCTGGCGTACCAAGTGTGACTGTGTAAGATTGATGGTGCGCGTTGTTCTGTCCCTGGAGATCTACAGGCCAAGGTAGCGGCGCAACTCTCCTAGGTCAGTGCAGGTGTGTCTCCTCAGCAGCTCGGCCTTCACGGAGGCCAGTGCATCTCTATCTGCAGTAGCGAAGACCAGGTTGTCTACGTAGACAAGGGTGTAGAACGGATTCTGGCCAGTACGAACGAAGAGCGAGGGGTCAGCAGAGGATGGAAAGAACTGCAGGTCAGCTACCGTAGCACGCAGCGTGTCGTGCCACTCACGAGGCGCTTGTCGCAGGCCGTAGACCGGGCGCTGGAGGAGCCGCTGGGTTCCAGGAGGGAAGGTTTCGGTGAAGCCCTGTGGACGGCGCAGGTAGACCTGCTCGTGTAGACTGCCTTGGAGGAAAGCTGTGGAGAAGTCGAGGGAGTGCAGCTCGTAGTCACGCTGTGCTGCTACGTTTAGCAGTGCCCGAAGAGTAGTCATCTTCGGGGTCGGGGCGAAGGTCTGAAAGAAGTCCACCCCCTCGCGCTGACTGAAGCCTCTAGCAACATAGCGCGCCTTGAATAAAGGCGGCTCTCCAAGAGGACGCTTCACCTTGAAGAGCCATCGGCCATCAACTACGTTCACCCCAGGTGGGGGAACTGCGTCGACATAGGTACCAGTGGATCTTCAAGATGCCATCTCCTACTCCATAGCAGCTATCCACTGAGACGCCCAGGCTCCCGAGGTCGCCTCATCGTAAGTGCGAGGGGTCGGGATGTCAAAGGCGTCTGGGTCACCCTCAGGGACTAGCAGCATGGAACAGAGATGGGGAGCAGCCTCGGAAAGGAAAGCAAGCTCGTACTGCCTGTCCTCTAGGATGTTACTGCCAAGGGCAGGAGCACCCCCGACGGACGGAGGACAGACAGGGTCAGAGACCAAAGCGGTGGTGTAGTCAAGGCGGTGGGTAGAGGTGAAGTCAGCGACAGCAGCTGTGAGAGTACGACCCCGTTACACCACTTGGCCTTTCCTTATTTCCTTCCTATTTCATTTCTCTTTTTTCTCATCTCATTTGGTTTCCTCTTCTCCCTTTTCCATTAACCTTTGGTTTATCCTGCTATTATAATTATATCACCGACCAGGCTTGGGATGTACTGGTGCGCTATATCTAGCGTAATCTTGCCGTAATCCCGTAAAGCCAATAGCCTCGTGTGGCTATACGCAGGGTGATTCTATCTTCTAGAAGGGTCTTTTCTCTTGGGATAAGATAAACCTGGTTACCTGATGTACTTTGGAAGTATAAAAGCGCCTTGTACTGATCGATAGTGCAATCTTTCCTCGAGTCATTCGATCTTGTAACAGCAGCGACAAGAGCGTCAAGACTCGAGACAGGAACAGACGAGCCAGTAACGAGGGAGGCAAGGACACGAGGAACAAGAGGACGAATGGCACGAACGTAGTCAAACAGAGGGGGAGGCGCGACAGCGAGCGACGACGGAGGAGGCGAGCGGAGGAGGGGAGGATGAGACGCATGGGAACGAAGCAACATAGGGTGAGAACGCGGAACAGAAGAGACAGGACGAGCACGAGAGGGACGGCAAGACCAGACATGAGACGGAGGTGTCAATTCAGGAGACAAAGGAGGAGACACAGGGGGGAAATGAGTCGGGAAACGGGCCGGGAACGAGTCTGGCGGAGGAAACACAGGACCATGGACAGGAAGGGGAGGAGGCGGCGGGGGAGGCGCAGGCGAGCGGTCAGGGGAGGGAAGGTCGAGAAGGCGAAGGGCGGACACTGGCGGCAACTGCTGCTGCTGCTGCTCGACGCCGACACCTGGACCGCCAGCTGCACCATGGCTACCTCCAGAACACTCCACTCCAGCACCCCCAGAGCGCGAACCCTCTCCAGCACCGGTGCCACCCCCGAGCCCGCTGGGACAAGCCACGATAGGAACCCCAGGAATAGCACCCTCCTCAACGCCAGCACCCCCTGAGTCCATGAACGGTTGATGCTGCTGCGACGACGGCGGCTGCTGCTGCGGCGACGACTGCTGCTGCTGCGGCTGCGTTGACGCCTGCGGCGACGACTGCGATGATGGAAGAGGGGACACCGGGGGAGAGGCAGACGTCGAGAACTACGTCACGGGGCCACCAGAGTCAGCCGACTCCTCGACCGGGACAAGCGACGGGAGGGGAGTGACGTGAGAGACACCAGACAGAGCAGGGGAGGGAGGGGAGCAGGGGCTACCAGGGGAGTGGGGACCAAAAAAGGGGTGGGGAAACCGGGAGACCTCGCTGGGGAAAGCGACGGTAAAAGGAGACAGACTCATCGAAAGTGACGTCACGCGGGTGAATGAAGCGGTGAGACGGCGGGTGGTAGAAGTGCCAGTCAAACGAGTCAAGGGGGAAGCCAAGGAAGGCACAGGATATAGTGCAGGCAGTGAGCTTGTCCATGCCAGCGGCACGAACGTGAGCGAGGCATCCCCAGATGTGGAACGCAGACACGTCACCAGGAGACCCGGTTTTGAGGAGGGTCGGGGAAACCTGCGGCCGCTGGGAGTGGGCCACAGGTTGAGCTGGTGAGCGGTGTAGCGAACAGCGAACGGCCACAGAAAATGGGGTGCACCGGCATGGATCATGGAGGTACGAGCCACCTGCATGACCAGGCCGATGCGTTGCTCAGGGTGTACGATTGGGTGATGCCCTCCGCACTACAGAACCGGCCAAGTTGACCGGAGGCAAACTCGCCGCCACTGTCGGAGTGGAGATACAGCACGGGGAGACCTCGGCGGACTCGCGCAGCTACGACCCAAGGTATAAGAATGTCAGCCTTCCGCTCCAGAGGAAACACCGTGGTGTAGCACGTGTAGTCGTCGACAAGCACCAGGAAGTAGCGCTCTCGACGCGGCCCAGAGACGGGGGCTGGACCCCAAACGTCCAGGTGCAGGGTCTAGAGTGGCACGGTGGCAGGCCAAAGCGAGGAGGAGTGAGGTGCACGGCGCAGCCGGCCCTCGACGCAGGGCGTGCACGGCGGCGCGGGCGAGGGAGGGAGGGAAGGGGGCAACGCAGGGAGACCTAGGACAAGACCGCGCTGGGATATGTGACGCAGACGCGGGAGTGCAGGGTGACCTAGGCGGTGGTGCCCTAGCAGCGATGGGTGAGTGAGGGACCGACACAAACAAGCCGCGGCTACCTTGGGGGACGCCCTCACCAGGGGGGACGCAGTGTCAAGCGTAAACAGGCCAGACACAGGGTCCCGGAGGAACGTGGTCAGTGGAGCACCAGTGGCGGTCTAAGTGCAGACTGCGTACCGCTCGTGTCCGAGGAACGTAGTGGTGACGCCGAGGTCCTGAAGACAGCCGACACCAAGTAGGTTCCTAGAGAACGAGGGGATGTGCAGGCCTGTAAGAGTGCCTGAGGGGGCCGGTGGACAAGGAAGGATGGTGAAGCTACGTGCAACTACCGGACCGGAGGAGGGGTCTGCAAGTGCGACGGTGGCAGGGGCGGCAAGCGGCATAAGGGAAGTGCGGTCGTGGAAGAAGCAGGTTGACACACCGAAGTCGAGCGTGAAGGAGAGCAAAGCGTTAGCAACTGCCGGTGGAGGGGCTAGTGTGGAGCCTAGGCTAAACAAGGTAGACGGTCCTATGCCTGACGCAGCAAAGGAGCCTAGACTACACACAGTTGACACACCTACGCTAGGCAACACCGGGTAATAGGGTCCAATCACACTAGACTCATCAGCGTACATGACAGACATAAGCATTCCTAATCTGATCCATGTCAAGCTCAAAGACCAGCACACGACGGCGAGCCAGGGCATACCAGTCCGGAGGGTCCGACGCAGGACCGAAGTGGTGGCCCAACAGGTCGTCCAGGCGGTGGTAGCAGCGGTCGGTGGTGCGGCCGGGCTGGAGGCAGACAGTGCCGCGGCGAGGGCCGGTCTGAAGCTGGTACGGGCAGGTGACCGCGCTGGAGATGCCACCCAACACCGAG